AAAAAAAAAAACTAATTATAATTGACTAATGATATTTCTCGGTAAATGTTTGCAAAGGTCGCGGAAAAATGAAGAAAACCATGGGAATGATGATGACAATGGGCGCCATGAAGGCGATGATGATCATACCACTGGCGCTCGGCATACTGTTTCTGATGGCCGGAAAGGCGTTGATAATCAGCAAAATAGCGCTAGTCTTGTCGCTGATCATCACTCTCAAAAAGCTCTTGTCCAAGTCTGGCGGTGGAGGTGGTGAGCACATGATTCACGAGTCGCATTCGTCGTCAGGTTCCGGTTGGCCGTCGGGCGGAAGTTCGGGTGSCCATGGAGGCTGGGACAAGAGGTCTTCGTCGTCGTTTTCATCGGAAGCTGCTGCTGCCAGTCAGATGTTGGCTTACAGATCGTACAACAAGCCATAATTTATTCTATAAATATAAAATTACAAAAGTACAATTTAACACGTCATTCGACACCGTGTGTGTACGTCACGCACCGTTGATATTGACACGATTATTTATTATATTTATTAGTAGTATTTATTATTATTTATTGTCATCGTTATTATTATTATTYTTGTTGTTCGTTTACGAAAGGATAATATTATCCACCTTTTTTAATATGCATTAAGCTTCCGAGTCCTGATACCACGGCGCTTACAGTATCTACGTAAAATATTGTTTATAATATTTAAATGGAACGCTGTTTTTGTATACTAATATTTTAGCCATTTTAGGACACTATAATGTTATAATAGCTTATTTATCATTCATCTTATTTTATTTTTAATGTTCTATTGTATGTCATTTTATCACGATATTATAATATCATATTAGCAAATATAAAATTACGCTTTCCTTTAATTTATAAAATGCACTACCCACCATGATGTTAGTGTCATATAATTGTAAAATATAATGTTTTTTTTTCTGTTATTTTGTAATTGGAAACAATATTTAAAATCGTTTTGTACAACCTTTTTTTCGATTATTTTACTATATTTCTACAAATAATAATGACCCAMATTTTTTATAAATATTAATAAGACATACATATAGAAGTATTAAAATTATTAATTTTTAGTTTTCGTGATCTACAATTAATAATATCGAAGATACTTGATCAACAATAAATTAT